TATTGTTTTCACTTAATTTCAGCTCCTGACGATATCTGGCTGAGCTGATTCATCTGGCTGAAAATATCTCAATATAATGTCTGAAGAATATTGCGATAAATTTTGGAAGAATATTTTGCGCATTTCATTCGATTTTTTGTCATTTGTATCCCTTTAAGAAGTTTTGACGCATTCAATTTAAAATAGAAAAATCTTAAAGACGTAAAAACGATTATTATTCCAGATAAAAGAGATTCAATTTGCTCTTATGTCAACGTATCAAAAGTGCGTGTCATACTACTTGACAACGCATTTTTTTAATCAATCGCAAAAGGAAATATTGCTTGCAAATGTCAATCTATTCCCACTCAATATTATTTAAACATTAAAATACAATTCAATTTAGCACTTAAATTGAACAGTATTTATAATTGTTGCCATATCTTTTTTAGTTCCGATTTGAAAATATTTCATGCTTGTTAGAAACAAAAAAGGCAATGAAATATTTTTTTAAACATTATTGTGTAAGTGTCGTCTAATAGACATTCATTGTTCGTAAACAATAGCTATAGCTGCAACTACCGTCTCGTGTCTGGTCTGCGCAAAACAAAAACAACAAATACGGACTATGACCAAAAAGTAAACACCATAAATTCCGAACCGAATCGAACCTTTTTTTAACTATCCCATTTCTTGACGGCACGCAGAGTTTTTTTTTTCTTTTCTTTTCGAATTTTGCGTGTGTTCGATATGATGACAAAAAAATAGAGAAAAATGCGTTTCGGTTTTTATTAGACAATTTATTGCTTTACGCAATGACGCCTTGTTTGCACCATTTCCAGACAACGATCATCTAGTGACAAAGGAATCGAAGAGAAACAGAAGAAATACCATTAATTTACCTCTTAATTGATCTTTTTATTTGGCTGCTAATTTGTCTCCAATTTTATGACGAAAAAAAGGACATTTGCTTGTTTTTGAAATGGTTTCGAATGGAATTCATTTGATGCGAGGTGAACATTCGTTATAATAAGATTGCGGTTGTAAAATCATTAATCAAAGCAACACAAGTGGTTAGATGTGCAGAGAGAAAAGCTGCGATTATCGAAAAACAACTTTCGATCGTTCGTGCACCGTCGCTACTTTGCTTTTAATTTTTATTCCATTTGATTGAGTTTGTGCTTTGGATCAAAGCTGATCATCAATCAAATTGCCAATTACATCGTCTTTCTTTTATGTCGAAGACTATAAAATCCGCCGTTATCGCCACTACACTTACGCAAAAAAAAAAGATAAATAAAAACAAGCAAGCAGATAGGCTTGATTCAAGCCAATTTTAATTTCAAAGCAAACATCATAAAACTGATCAATTTCGATTAATCAATGGAATCGTTTTACGACAAATCATTTTTCAAATCGTACGCATTCATGCAGAATTAAAAAAAAGCAAAATAAAAATAGACTTCTAAATGGTTTATCGCCCGAATTGGACACTTTTTTATCTCACCACCTAAAGTATCAATTTAATGCTATTATTGGATTTGATGGCACCTTTGGCACACAAAGGTGAAATCTATATACATGTTTGCACGTCGAAAAGATTGAAACAAATGATAAACGACATGGAACATTTTGAGAGAGAAAAAGGAGAATCAGATCAAATGTAAGAGGAGTTGTCGAAATTCACGAATCAAATTAAAAAAAAAAGAATGAATTGTAGACAGTAACAAAAGGCCCATTTTTTACCTACTGCACGGAATGTGTGAGGCAGCCAATGGCATGACAGAATTTTCAAATAAAGCACGATCAATGCTACCTGCTGTGCAAAACAAAGATGAGGAGTCTATCGATGTTTCATTGTTTCTGGTCGACTGGCAGGATTGAGCCTTTACTTGGTGCCATTCGATCATCATAAAAAAGAATGATGCAAGTGAGTCACAGCCACTCGAAGGAAATAAATTGGCGACACTCAATTCACAAGTGTCAACGGGGAAACAAAAACTGATTTTTTTTCCTTATCTCAACGAACTGATGATTCAAACGAAAAAAAAAGTCAAATAGATAAAGACAAACCATTCCGAACCAAACACCAATATCCCAAAATGAAAATTATGTAACCAAATAAATCGAAGCCAATCCCATTTTCCAGCAATCATGCAATGGATCTATGCAAATGTGTCAGAACAACAGAAATGCCACACCGCATCAAAAAGTGTTCGAATGCAAGGCGACGGCGGTATAACAGAAAGAAAAGAGTCGATCATTTTTGTCGTTATACTCATCATTACAATCATCATCAATGTACGCGTATCCATCTGGTTTAACGTGGCTTGTATTGATGGGGCCGGCGCCAAAACACTTTCATTATTATGCATTCCTTTCATTTGTTTTCTCTCTTTCTCTCTTCTCTTCTCTCCTTCTCGATGCAAATGCATTCACAACGATTCCTCTCACATTTTATTCTCGTCTTTGTTTCTCGTCCGTCGAATTGTATTAGCCGAAACGGTAGAGATTGTTCTTGTAAAAGAGATACATTACATCGCTGTTCATATTCTCGCTTTGAAGACATTCTAACAAAATGAAAGCGGAACGAAAAACTCGCGTACGGCATCCAATACATCGAAAAACAAAAACAAAAAAAAAAAAACAAAAGAAGAGAGAATGAAAGATTAAAAATAACATTGAAAACATCTTTGTTCGATGTTGATGCCGCGCTACATATTTTGTTTGCTCTATCCATTTATATTGGACCATCGATCGCGCCTTATTTTATAGCGTTTTCGCTTTTCGTTTGTTTTTCTTTCATCTCCGTATATCTCTACTAGCTAATTTGATATCCAATAAAATTATTCGTTCCATAAATGCGGGTGTTTTTTTTTGTTTTAGTTCAATTTGTGGCTCGTTTTTTTTTGTACAGAAACGAGAAAACTGCATTTTATCGAAGTAAAACAATCTTGAAGTTCATGTCGCTGGGTTCGTACTTTACTCGAACGGAATCGAACCGAGAGTAAGATGTGTATTTGGAAAATTTGGTGTGCAAATTGAGAACGACGTTTGTTTGCGCAATGAAGGTATGAGGAAATTGAAATTAGACAACATTCTTGTAGCTCCACTTGATTTTCTTGAATTTTATTCAATACTTCGGCTCAATCCATTAATCCAAGTCACATGTAAATTTATCTTATTGTTGTAATGCGCGGCCCAACACCACAAAATGCAGAGGAGTCAAATGAAACTGATTTCCATAAAGAAAAAGAGAACAGAAAAAAAAGACCGAAACGCCAGCAATAAGAAGATCAACAGCAGCAGCAGCATCAACAGCAGCAGCAATAACGACAGCGACTCATACATTTGTTACGTATAGACATTTCGATGTTGACTCCAATTGATCGATTTCGTCGTACAGTTTTCGGCATTTCAAATAGACGACTCTTTGAAGCATTAGTGCGACACTAGTTCAAGCGCGTTCATTTGATTTGTATTGGAATGCCGTAATGTTGTTGTTTCCATTCACTCTTCAACCCATCTCAGGTTAAGACCGATTTGTCATTAAATGAGAGAATGAAAAGGATCAAAGTCAATTCCGACCCAAATGACACTCTTTCAGTGTCGCCTGGTCATTAAAAAATTTGTTTAATGCGCTCTCCGAACGAAAATCAATGGTGATCATTTGCCCATTGATTCGTGTGGCGTTTTCGGAACAAAAAGAAAGAAAGATTCCGAAGATTCAAGTAAAGGATGTGAAATTTATTGCTTAATTTTCATTTGATATAACCAGAAAAGTGCATTATATAAATGAATTTCAAACACTTTACGATCGCATAAAATCAATGGCCAACAAAGAATGCGTCATCGCGTAACAATTTGACGGAGCTAAAAAGAGAAAAAGACAGCGAAAAGGAAGTGGATTCGGTCCAATCTCCCTTTTTATAAGCTTGTGTCTTATGGCGATCGAATCGTAATCGAATGCACCAAAGTATTTTCAGTCATAAAATTTGCATTTTTTTTCAACATTGTCTTACTCTCTTCATGTTTCTTCCTTT